GTTTCATTAATTTATTTGGTCTACCTAACAGTAAAGCATATGGCGAGCTATGAGATGGATTACGGAGCAGTGCATTACAATCGAACGATATTATTATCAGAATACATCGTATCATTACTTCGTTTACCATCTTTATCGTACCACTTTCCTAAACTGATATCGTTACTGCTATAAAACATGCAACTGTAACAGGACATAAGTGTCTTACGAAAGATTATATTTCGTCTGACCGCCGCGGTTCGCCACTGTCTGTACCACATGCGAGCAGGTGTTTAAGAGTTACCGGATGATGAAATCAAATCCTGGCAAGTCCTTGGGTAACGTATCTTCGTGATGGATGGCATGGCACAGTCATGATAGTGTCATATTACCAATTGCTAGTGGATGCACACTGATTAGTCGTAGCATCGACAGAAGGTCTATAAAGGACCCACTGGCCGTTAGATAGATAGTGACAGATATGTTGGAGTGTACATCTTGTACTGGAATGCAGTTTTTTCTATGATGCTTTGCCATCGCCAAACGGCAACTAATGTTCCGTACGATGAAGAAGCGACGATCAGCGGATCGAGCAGATCTCATGGAAGTTCCGTAAAACAATAAAGCAATTTTCGCCTTCTCCAGGTTTCATTCCACTCTACATGAATTAACTGATTCTAGAAGGCGAACTGGGATTTATGATGAAGACGGTTCTTCGCAATGTCTCATTTAAGCGGAACGTAAGACGGCAATGTCATTTTGTTCGTAAACTGACTGATTCTCCCAATTTTCTTCCGGCCTTTGCATTTATTAGGAAATGGTTATATATCTTTGGCAGAAGATCCAGTCTTGGCTGCTCTCTGTCTAGCAGAAACCCCCTGTTTTTCTTCTCTGAAGAAATCTATCTGAAATGGCTTGTTGGGCAGTATGAGTTTTGTCTGTCCAACTTGTTATACTAATTTTGTTTCAAAGAAATTACTTGAATAGTTTATGCGGATGGAAAATTCTTCATCCCCTAAACCTTCAAAGGGTTACTCTGCATGTAAATTTTTTAAACAAAATACTAGCCCTCTTCGAAGGACATTGCATAGCAAGAATTTGAGCAACAAATAAAGTATATGTGGAGTAGACCCATTGGAGATTTCTGCGATGAACAATCTCCCGAAGCCGTTGGCGGTCCAAAGCCCGAATGAGAAAGGATAGCGAAAACTTCGTAAGCTTAACAACCTGTCATTTATCGTATTCCTGCCATTGAACATTATACCGTCTTGATCGTCGCGTGGGATACCAAGGACCGGGACAAACTGGCCATGGAGGGTTACTCGACCGTTGATCATCAGAGGCAAAACTGAGAGGTCTCAAAGTTTAGTCGCTGTCGGGTCACTGGCCTCTGGTCGTTCAGAAGTTGATAAATGAGTACCACTATATGAGAAGGAAACAGGAGACTTCACATTAAGCTTGCCATATGGTGACTGTCGAATCTGCTTTTATTAAATGGCACAATGTTGATGACACTGATCAGCGCCCTCACTATTGACTTCATAGAAAGAAATGAGACAGAAATGGCCCCATTATGAAAGTGAAAAAAGAATCGATATTCTAGACCTTCCCACCCATTTTTTTTAAGTTTGTATAATGTAAATACTGCTCATGCTCAGCCAAAGCGTAATGACGTTCTTCAGACAAAATACTTTACGACCTTCAGAAAACTATGGGTGTTACTGTCACGAACATACTTCGTGGTTAAACTTTATAAACCATAAGGTTGTAACGAAACACACCTTATACGTACTTAAAAACGCATTCTGATGTATACGGCCAATTTCATCTAACACCGCCTGGGCGACTGAGGTTTCGGTAGACTGCCGACAGAACTCGCGCGCAACCATGTACGCGATGTCTTCGTTGACCTGCATGGTGCCGGTAGCATTTTCCAAATTCAGGTACACGCCGGATGACATGAGCAGCAAGAAGCAGAACGACTTGCCGATCGTTATCCCGCTGCTGAAAGCGGGGTCGCTGATGACCGGTTCCGATTTCGCACAGCTGAAAAACATCCGGTAATTATTCATCCTTCATCCATCAGTGGCCGAGGGACCAAAGGCATAACACCGCTGACTCACTGTTTGACACAAAATAAATATACTGTTTAGATGTCCAAATCAGTTTTCAGTTACAGCATGGTCACCAAGAAACCAACTATAATCTGTATCATTGAAGACCAAGCGCAAATGACTCAAACCGCATACAGTTTTGCCTATCTTCTTGGGGGGGGGTGTGAAAGTATG